CAAAGAAAAAATAGACCCAGTGGACTTCATCAAAATTATAAACGTAACACTTCAAAGGACACCATTAAGAAAGTGAAAAGACAACCTACAGAATGAGAAAAAAAATTTGCAAATCATACATCTGTTAATAGATTTATATCTAGAACATATAAAAACCATTTGAAGATTTAATTGGCTTTATTAAGCGGTTCATGAATTGGGCAGCATCCCATCTAACAACTAAAAGGAAGCTCTGAGGAGTTGTACAAAATAAAAGGTTTTTATAGGAAGAGGGTAGGGAAGGGAGGTATTAACAAAAGAAAATAAAATATTTTTAGACCAGGGCATCTTCTTTGGAAAGGGGAAGGGAATGGCAAGGATTTTTTTCATGCACATTGCTTCCTCTTTCTATGAGGGAGTAAGGATGGAGAGAGGGCCCACATGGCAGATTACTTCATTGATACTGACCATTAAATTCCAGACTGGTTGATTAACATTATCAGGAGAGGTTGAACCAGCAATTAGGTTAGGTATTAAATCTGGCTTTGGTGTCATGGACTTAAGTACAAGTAACTCCATTTGGGGCCTGTGGTTTTCTCTTTAATGCATTTCGAGTCAATTATAAAAAGAACACAATTAAAAATGGGCAAAGGATCTGAATAGACATTTCTTCAAAGGAAATATACAAAGGACTAATAAGAACATGAAAAGATTCTCAGTGTCATTAGCCATTAGGGACATTCAAATCAAAACCACTTCATACTTGTTTGGGTATCTATAATCAAAAAGATAAGTGTTAGTGACTATGTGGAGGAATTGGAGCCTTAATACGATGATGGTGAGAATGTAAAATAGTGCAGCCTCTTTGAAAAACAATCTGGCAGTTCCTGACAGAGTTAAACATAGAGTTACCACATGATTCAGCAATTCCACTCCTAGGTGTACACTCAAGAGAGTTGTAAACATATGTTCACACAAGATTTGTACACAGCGTTAATGGCATCCTTAGACAAGTCATTTAGATCTTGGATTCTTGGATCTCTATGGCAGCTAGCTCACGGTTAAGACAAGTTTATATTTTTAGTGATAGAACAGAATATGGGTTTATCACTGATGTTACATTATGTGTGCATATGTGGGGTGGGAAAACAAATATTGAATAAATAATGAAAACATTACAGGAAGTCCAGGAAAAGATATAGAAAGCAATTATCTGAGGATAAATTTTTAGTTTTCTTCTAGTACAGATTGCCTCTAATGACTTCATGCACGTGGTATAAAGTGGTCATTTAGCTACTTCTCTGGTTGTTCAGACTTCTTTGTTTGCTTAATGATGGATAAACAAATTGTGCATATCCTTCATACGCTGGACATTGGATTTTTCTAATTACTGCCATCATACCCTAAGAGCAGCTGACCAGTGCCTACTGTCCTTAAAACCCATGGGCTGGCTTCCTTTCCTCAGCCTTGGTTTATATTGTTCTAGGACATAAAACCAGTACAGAATTGCTTTATCACCTTGAAAAATTCATCACAGTGTAATTTTCAGCAGAAACTTTTTAATGCAGAAATTCAGATATTTTATAATATGAAGCTTCCTAAACTTCCATAGCCAGTCTTCTGAATATTCACACTCCTTTTCAATGTTCAGTTCTTCACTGGCAATTCTATCTTGTTTAGTGAACTATAAATCAGTCATTTCCCCTAATTGGAAAGTTTAGCATCATTTCATGTTTATTGGTCATTTGCATTTACTGTTCATGGTCTTGCTTGTTTTATTTGGATCTCTCAATCCAAAATTTGTCTTTTTTTAATCTGGATTTTTTTTTTTTAGGTGAGGCAACCTTTGGTTGACCTCACAGATTGCAAGGACCTTGTCAGCTTACAATCTCTTATTATTTTTTTATTTTTTATGCCTATAGCACCTGGTCTTCCTAGTGGGAAAATTTTTTTAAAATTATTTATTGGATTGCTGTTTTTTCTCTAATGATTCCTTTGCTCCTTCAAGAAAGGCCTAAAGACTTCGATTTATACTTGTTTTAAATTACAAAAAGAACAATTAAAGACCATAGTATTATTTAGTAGTTTTGAGGGCTGAAAGAATTCTATTGTATTGAGTTCTTTCAAATTTTAAGTATCCTGTTCATTAGATAAAGATAATTACATTCTTTGCAATCAAGGCCAAAACAAAGAATTCTGTTAAGAGACAGATAGGTGCAAAACATCTTATTCATATTTAAATTTAAATTTAAGTATTCTCTAGATTTTGTCATACATTTATAGAATGCTATATATTTTTTATTTTATTTTTATTTTTAATTTTAATTAGTTTCAAGTATACATTACATTGGTTAGACATCTATATAGTTCGTAAAATGATCCCCCCAATTGCTCCCTCCCTCCTCTGTCCCTCCACCTAGCAATATATTAATGCTAACTGCATTCCATATGCCATGCTCCCCGTCCCGGTATCCATCCATCAGCTACTAATTTGTACTTCTTTAACCCTTCACTCCATTCTCCCAGCCCCCCAAAACTCCCTCCCCTTTGTCCGTCGCCAAATTGTCCATTACATTTGTTTTTGATTAGTTTGTTCTTTTTAACCCTTAGATTCTGCATATAAGTGAAATCATATAGTGTTTATCTTTCTCTGTCTTAAATACTTTCTGCGTCCATCAAAGCAATATGTTTTTCCATCCCCTTCGTTTCAGTCTGTGTTTTTTAATCTGAAATGAGTCTCTTTTAGGCAACATGTAGGGGTCTTGCTTTCCTTTCCATTCATCCACTCTTTTAGTTGGAACACTTAATTCTTTTCCATTTGAGGTACTTATTGATAGGAATGTAGTTGTTACCATTCTTTATTCCTGTTTTTGATACATATTTTTTCTTTTTAGAAGTCCCTCAAACATTTCCTGTAATATTGACTTGGTGTTGATAAATTCCTTTAGCTTATTTGTATCTGAGAAGCTCTTCATCTGTCTTTAAACTCTAAATGACAGCTTTGCTGGATAAAGTATTCTTGATTGTAGATCCTGAGTTTTCATCATATCAAATATTTTGGGTCAAGCTCTTCTGTTCTGCAGCTTCTTTTGAGAACTCAGCTTTGAGTCTTATGGGTCCTCCTTTGTAGGTAACTAACTACTTTTCTCTTGCTGCTTTTAAGATCATTATTTCTTCAAATAGCTGTTCAACATCTTGATTTTCTTCAGTTAAGCCAATCAGATAGATTTTTGGACCCTTAATAGTGTCCTATATGCTCCTTAAATTATTTTTACAGTCGGCATCTTATCTCTTGCCATTCTGATTGCATGTCCTTGTCCTTGGCTTTTCCATCCTCTAGATAGGGCATTTGATCCTTTTCTTTATTCATTCTATTTATTCCTTTGTTTATTCCATTTAATATACTTCTCATATCAGATGTGTTCTTCATTTCAGACTGGTTTCTTTTTATAATTTCCATTTTCATTTTTATGTTTTTTATCTCTTTGTGAAGTTCTCACTGAGTTTAACCAAAAGTTCATTGAACATCTTTATAACCAGTGTTTTAAACTCTGTATCTGTGAGATTACTTAACTCCGTTATACCTAGATCTCTGTTCTGTTCTCTCATATGGTTTTTGCTTCTTTGTCTTCCCATTTTGGCTGCCTTTCTATGTCTGTTTCTATGTACTAAGCAAAGCTCTAAGTTTCCCGGTCTTATTAGTGTGGATTTGTGAAGTAGGTGTCCAGTGGCACAGTCCTGAGAGGGGTTCAACTACAGGCCAAATTTAGCTCAAGCCTCTGCCTGTCCAGGGCCACCTGTTAAAATTCAGCAAGCAATCCACAGGTGCTATGCTTATAGTTGCCTCATAAGGCTACACCAGAAACCGAGGCCAGCTGCCTCCAATGTGAGTCTAGGCGCTACTCTACAAGGAGCACTTGACTCGCTGAGGATACACCTGGATGTGGCTTGGGTGGGGCCGCAAGTTGGGGGAGGCAGGGTTTCAGGGAATCCTCTGGGCAGAGTGACCTCTGTTATCCAGTCTGATGACCTCACAGCAATGGCGGTGCTGTGTCTGGAGCACTGGTAGTGGGGAGGGCTCAACAGGGAACAATGGATATCCCTGGCACTTCTATATAGAGCTAGTCTCACCTCGGCCCTCACTCTGATAATGTTTCCCTGTAAGTCCCTGGTGCCCCCTGTACGCAGCCTAATTGGCTGCTCAGAGCGAGCAGGTCTGTCACTGCGAAAATCCGCTCCCAGACACAGCTCCTTTAAGAGGCATCTGCCTCTGCCGCAGCATCCATCTCACTCAGCTGCTGGAGACCCAGTCACCCTGCTTCCTCACCCCGTCCTGCCTTCTGCCGTTGCAGGGTACTTTCTTGGATTTCTCCCTAGCTGTATGGCTTGTTCATCAAGATCCCAGGTGATTTTTCCTTGCTGTTGCTCCTTGTTTCTGTCACAACTTTGATTTGGTCGCCAGAGTGATGAACAGAGCCTCTATCTTCTATGCCATTTTGGTTCCTCCTTCTAGAATGCTATATTGATCAAATATTTTTCTTGGGCAAATTTTTCTCCTTAAAATCACCTGAGATTCTAGCATGGAATTCAGCATTTTTAAACATGATAACATTGGTGTATATGCCAATCTTTTTTTTTTTAGATTATAATTTCTTAAGAGAAGGGACTATATTTTAATTATCTTTATAACTCTCAAACATAGCAACCTCAAGCATCATCAGTACTTTTTTTTGTGTGAAAACCGAACCAAATTGAATTTCCTAGAAGACAACTATTTAAAGTGAATAATCTGGGTACTGTTTGGTAGTCTAAATATAAAATGATCAAATATATTCTTTTATTTCTAGTTTACATGTAAGCGTATCTCTATGTGTATACTTTTCATTATTTTATGTTGTATGTTGAGAGTTGCCAATAAATAAAAAGTACTGGCACACAACAGAAACCCTCAGACAATTATATTCATTTTTGCAATTCCTTCACAAATCATTCATCATGTTAGTAGTTTACATCGAAGCCAAATGGCTTCCTATGATGTCAACCTAAATAAAGAGGTAAACTGAGGCAAGCTGGAATGATCAGAAATTGAGTGTATTCGGGAATAGCACAACTGTGATTTTGGAAACGCTAATGGTAGTAAGCTATAGTCAAGTCCATTGAAGGTTTTGGGCAGGCTATATTCTTGGGCAAGGAATTCAAAGAGTGGGGAAGTCCAGCAAGACTTCAAGCAATAAATTCATTGGCTTGAGGATGGGGAGAGATTCTTGGAGAATGTTCATTTGTCAGGAAATAAGTTCCGATTTTCTGTAGATCAGGCATTTACAGAGAATCAGTCTCTCAGTTCTTGTTTTATTTTCCTGAGGGCACATGCATGAGAGTTTCCATTCTATATCCTCCAGTTCTATTTTAGATGGAAATCCTTTCATAGAGAGTAAAAGAAATTTAAGACATTTAACTAAGTCAGAACAAGACTTTATCATTTAAGTATCATCTCATTGCAATTTTCTGGTATGAATGAATAAATGATTGATGAGAGATGAGTGGAAATAGTTCTTTTTTAAACTTCAGTGGTGTTTTTAGTTCATTTTTCCCATTGTTCAAGGCTTTCTAAATCATCTGTAAATATATTAAACACTGGTTTTCAGTATTTTGAATATTGCTATTTTATATTAATTATAGATTATATTTATTATTATTATTTCTGGAAAAATACTGATTATTTTATTTACAACTACAAAGTTAAAATACATGTAGTAGTTATAAATCATGGGTGATAGATTTATGTGTTCAAGAAATAGTAGTTCTGTGTTGTCTAAATTAGCTATGAATACTACAAGCCTCTATTCTGCTTGACAGATTGGATATTCACTCTTAGTTTTTATTAGGCCTGTCCCTGCCTATGGTTTTACAAAGGTTTTGGATTCTTATGTAACAACAAAAACATTGAAGGAACACCACGGGACATTTGGTCAATTGTCACATCTTTATGGTCCCCTCTGTCTTGATGAACCTTTTCTGGGTCACCACTAGGACTGGAGAAGAGCTATGTTATGAGGTCTGCCATGCTATGGGGTCGAATTTCTCAAGATCTAGTGCCCAGACATTTCTTCCATGGTACTGTCACTTCCAGGGGATCCTGCTACAACAGAGATGTCTCTGAATAACCTCTGTTACCTTCCAGTCTCTGGACACATCTCTCTGATTCCCATTTTTCCTTCTACAGGGCACCCAATGTCATCTTTTCAGTGAGCTTGATTTTTTGTTTTTGTTTCAGGCAGTTTCAACTTTCTTCTTTGGAGAAATTCAGGAGAGAAAGGATGAAAGCCTGTATATATCTCCTCAGAATAGTGAAGTACAAACCAAAGGGTGAGGAATTCTTAAAAATATATGTAAAGGCTTTATCCTTAAGAGGTATTAATGATATCCCATGACCCTTCTCTTTTACAAACTAACCATTTTGTCTTCTAACTATTTCCAAAAGAGATATGGCTTTATGTTTCCTCACTTTTCCCCCATGTCAGTAGGTAAAACAGTCCATTAAAAAAATAATAATAAGTGTAGGACCCTGAAATGGATGAGATCAATCCAGTTTCCAACATATTTTACCCAAAAGGTTTGCAATTATGATTTGCAACTGATACATATAGTTTAATTTTGTAATGGCAAATAAAATAGCTATTTAAAAAAAACACAATAGATAAAATATAAACCATATACCCAAACTTTATGCTTCAGCAATGTGTGTAATCCCTACTCAGAGGCAGTAGGGATCTATTAGAGGGTCTTAAACAGAGGGTGGAGACTGGGGGAGGAGTGAAAAGATCAGGAACTTTATGTTTGGAAAAGTTACTCTGGCAGTCATGAAAAAGATGAGACTAGAGGAAGACAGATCAGGAGACTGGAAGATAAGAAGTTATTGTATTTATCTAGGACAAAGATAATGGCGTCCTGACTTAGAAGAATGGCAGAAGGAATGAAAAAGAGATTTGATTTACAGAGCTCCTTTGAAGATGGGAATCAATAGCACATAGTGCACTAGTGCCTCCCCAATGATTTGATGCTACATGAACCGGTGAACAACCTGAAGCAAGGTGCAGCCTGACAATGACCATGAAAGGAAATTTAGATGGAGCCTTGGTTTCTTATGACTGTGAAGCTGCCGAACTGACCCTTAATTGTCTAGCTTGGAATTTTTAAAAAGTTTTTTAACATCAGAGAGAAATATACTTCTATCTTGTTGAGCAATAGTCATTTTTATTTGTTACGTGTCATTAAATCTAATTCTAATGCAATATATTCTTTTATAATCTTATTTTTATTGAGGTGAAATTTGTATTCACTGTACAATTCAATGAGTATTCAGGGTATCTATTGCTGGTAACAATGACTGTAAAACTTAGAGTGTTAAAATAATTTTTTATCAACTCTGATGGTTCTGGAGTTAATTGTACACAGGGTAGTTCACATTGGGGGGTCTCTCCTGTGATTTCAGTTAGATGTCAGCTGAGGTGCTAGTCATCTGAAGCTTGACTGGACCCTACCGCACACATATAATAACAACAATAATAATAATTCTTTGTTGATAGCTTCAGGTTTTGGATTCTACTGAGAATTTGATGAAGAATATACTTATAAAAAGACTAAAAATTTTGTGAAAGTTGATAACATTTTTAGATTCTCTATTTTGAGGGTTTTTCTTTGGGAGGGATAATTTTAACCCTTATTTTCTTTGTTTATTTATCCCACTGAAGGTGTAATTCCAACACCTCTTTGGGAAACATTTCTGAAGACATTCACATTTTCTTTTTGGAATCTTGAGATTATTTGGTTACTGTTTCTTTTACTCTTAGTCAAAAGCAACCCTAACCAATAAAATACAACAAGGAGTCATACTGTCTCTCTCTCTTTTTTTTTTCTCACAATACTATTCAAATAGTGGTCCACAAACTATTGCTGGTTAAGCACTGTTACTCCCAAAATAAGTGCTACCAAAATAAGCCAAAAGTCAAGAGTAAGCATGTAGAAACTTTTACAACAATTTGATCTTTTCTAGCCATCTAATCTGGGGACGTCTCCTCAACAGGGAGTTGGGGAACTTGCACGTTGAGCAGATGGTACAAATATCTACCACTGTTAGAGCAGATGTGAGGAATCTTTGAACAATAGGTTCAGTGATCAAGAGTGAATTTCTAAAATAATTAGTCTCTGACTTCTTGAAACCTCAAAAAATATGATTAATCATAGTCAAGTCTGTGAAATATACCAGGAAACAGCTAAAAGTTCTAGGTCAATATGCCTAACAGATGCACACAAAAACCAATTTGCTTTCAATTGTTTTTCACCAATTATTTTTCTCTCTAGGTGGCCTGTACTTTTTCCTTTCTATTTATTTGGCATTAAATGTTTTAAGTGAATTTAAAACAAATATAAGAGTATGTCTGACTCAAATTTATATTTCTAAACTCTGAAATAAGTAACGTTTTGTAAATGGTGGGTTTCTTATTGTCTTCTTTTAAAGACTTTGTCTTTATCTAGTGTGCTTAAACATCTTATCTCTATAGTTATAATTTATACGACTCAATAAATACTTGTCAAACTTGTAACATTTATTACTAGATTTATCAGAGTACCTCTTTTGAGTATTCCTACACCTTTATTATTGTTGTTCTGTGCTTATGTGTACTTTATCATGCATTCATTAATAATTGTTTGTAGTTATTTTCTTGAGTGCCTTTTAAAGTGGAACTTTCCAAAGTTAAGTTGTTAATTTAAAAAAATAAACTTCTGTATATATTAATCTTGTTCGGGAATAACATATTTTTTATTAAAGTTAGGCCCACTCTGAATGACATCCCTGTATGTAGCTCAGTAGAGCTACTGACTTAAAAATATGTTTGCTTTACATTTTAATGGTTATAGATTATTAGAATCAGACCTTGCTATAACCAATAGCAATAGATAATGATGTTTTGAATTTATAAACTATTTTGTACTGAATGTTTTCCATTTCCCCTCCAGATCCATTTTCTATCCTCTGCACTCTGCACTGCACTTTCTGGCTTCTTGTTTGGTTTAGCTGATGGGAAGCACAGGCAGATGTTTGGAGTGAAGTGGGGGAGAGTGAGATCAGAGTTCCTGTCCTCCAGGCTTCCTCTTAGCATGCAGCTCAGACTGGTTGCACCTGTGAACAAAAAGCTGAGATTTTTAAGTACCACTCTCCTACAGCTATCCTTTCCAGGTCTTCTTCCTCTCAGTCTTGAATGTGGTAATGTGGTAATGGTTTACCATTCTTCTTGTCAGCTCCTGAGAATGGCACCATCTTGGGTTTTCTTTTCTTTTCATTTAAATAATGTCATTGGAAAGAGTCTCTTTATTCAGTTACCCCATTTGAGTGTGTCATCTGTTTCCTGCCAGAACCTCGACTGATATAACAACCAGTGTTAAAAATTTGCTATCTATAAAATGAAGTACAAAATAATTTAATATAAATCTGACTACTCATTTTATTACTTTGTTTTGTTGTTTAAATACTCCACTAAACACAAATAGTATGCCCTCATTTTGGTCTTACACGTAATTATAAAATGTGCTCAGACATGCTTCAAGAGGAAGAAAAATCTGGATGTGAGGACAAGCAGAGAAAGCATAATCTAAATGACAAAAAGACAGGAGACATAAAAAGAAATTTATAAATAAACTTAAATAACAGAAAGCATAGTAATTAATAACAATCACAAGCACTTATATAAAACTTCCTATAAGTCAGGCTCTATTCTAAGCAATCTGCATATATTAACCTATTTATTTCTTAGATCAACTCTATAAAAGTACTGTTCCCTTAGCAAAGGAGAGGAAACTGAGACACAGAACAATTATTTAAAACAGTCTAGTTGTAGTCCTTTAACTACTATGCTGTTCTTTCAATGGTTTTGCTCATAAAACTGATAAACTATAATAAAGACTAAATATTATATGAAATAAATTTTTCTAGTAGTAACATAATAGAAGAAACATGGGTTTTTTGATTCAAAGTTGGGTTTTACACCTAGGTCTGAAAGTTTAAATTTAAATTTAAATACTTTCTTAATACAATTTTATTCTTAAGCCATAAATAATAAATTTGTGTGAAATGCATTATTTGGTACTCTGAGTAAATTTGTGTTATAATATAAACTTTAATATTTGTCTTTAGGTTTATGATCTGTGAAAATTTCTATTAAGAAATCACCTGTGATGAATACATTTGGAGTAGGATCTTCTAATTATGAAAACTTCTGGAGGTTTCATTTTCAAAATTTAAGAAAAAGGACTGATAAATCAAAGTAAGTTTAAAATTTTTCTTATTTTTAAAGTAGTGAACTTGTATGCATTGTAGAATTTAGAAAGTACAGAAAATTGTGAACAATCAATATAACTAAGGATACAAATCTTAAAATTCACTATTTTTTTTAGATAAATAGCTTTATTATTTATAATTTATTTCTAAAATTTTGAATTCTACATATTTGTTTAAAATAAGCAATTTCTCCATAATCATTTCTGCATTTT